CCCCTCCTTTTTTTTTTTTTTTTGGCCTTTTTGAGACAGGGTCTCCCTGTTGCCCCAGCTGTCCTGGAACTTACTAAACTCACTTTGTAGACCAGGCTGGCCTTGAACTCACAGAGATCTGCCTGCCTCTGCCTCCCAAGTGCTGGGATTAAAGGCGTGCACCACCACACCCAGCAACGGACCATTCCTCCTTTTAAGTTGTTTATGTCAGGCATTTATTTTGTCACTGGCTAACACAGGGAGTTTGGGGATCTTCACTAAGACTTTCAGGGGGTATGAATTGTATCTCTAGATAAAAACACAGTGATGGCCAGGAGAGGTGGCCCACACTTTTAAGCACAGCACTCAGGTAGTAGAGGCAGGTAGATCTCTGTGAGATCAAGGCCAGAATGGTCTATATAGCAAGTTCCAGGCCAGCTGTGGCTACAGGGAGACCTTGTCTCAGCAAACAAACACCCTACAGAGATGAAGATATGTGTCCACTATACATTGGCTCAGCCAGTGCTCCTCTCTGGACAGCAAGGTGACCAGAAGGAAGGCTGTTTCCACTGCTCTGGGCACCAAGGCTACTTCTCCATGAGTGAGTGCCCTGTGATGCTGCTGCTCCCACTCACTGTGGGAATAGCTGCCAGCCCCATTCAAGCTGTGTTGTCCCTTCCAGAGATACTGGTTACTTTTCCTGTTGCTGTGGTAAAATATGGGCCTCTGTACATGGCTTTGAGACATCATTTTAAATTTTTATTATTTATTTTTAATATTTTATTTATTATTTTTATTTTATGTGTATGTGTGTATTACCTGTGTGTAAGTATGTGCACCCATGTTGTGCAATGCCCAAGGAGGACAGAAGAGGCTGTTGGATCCCCTGGAACTGGAGTTACGGCCAGATGTTAGCTGCCATGTGGGTGCTGGGATTTGAACCCAGGTCTTCTGCAAGAATAAACAGTGTTCTTAACCACTGAGCCATCTCTCCAGCCCCTATTTATTATTTTTTATTTTATGTGTATGAGTGTTTTACCTGCCTGTATGTAATTCATTTGTGTCATGCATAGTGGAAGTCTCAAGAGGATGTCAGATCTCATGGAACAGGAGTTATGGATGGTTGTTAGCCTCCATATGGGTGCTGGGAATCAAACGGGTCCTCTGCAAGAGCAGCCAGTGCTCTTAACCACTGAGCCCTCTCTCCAGCCCTGAGACATTATCTTTTTGAAAAAGAAAATTTTATTTATTATTTTTGTGTGTATGAATGTATTTGTCAGCATGAATGTAAGTGCACCCATGTCATGCAATGTCGGAGAGGTCAGAAGAAGACTTTGGAGTCCCCTGGAACTGGAGTTATGGATGGTTGTTAGCTGCCATGTGGATGCTGGGAATCAAACCTGGGTCCTCTTGCAAGAGGACCCAATGCTCTTAAGCATCGAGCCATTTCTCCAGCCCCTGAGGGTGTGTATGAGTGTTATGCCTGCATGTGTGTAAGTGCACCTGTGTGGTGCAGTGCCTGTGGAAAACAGAAAAGAGTGTCCCCTGGAACTGGAGTTATGAATGGTTGTTAGCTGCCATGTGGGTGCTGGGATTTGGACCTGGAACAAGAACAACCAATGCTGAGCCATCTCTCCAGCCCTCAAGACAGTATTTTGATTAATTGATGTGTGAAGACTTAGCCTAAAAGCAGACAGTGCTGTTCCCTGGGCCTGGGGTCCTGGACTAAACAAGAGAAAGCAAGATGAGCACATGCATTCAAACTCTGCTTTCTGATGTGGATGCAGTGTGATCATCTGCTTAAAGCTCCAGCTGCTGCCACTTCCCTGCCACAGTGCACTGTAACTTCGACCCTTTCTCATGCTACAGCCTCTGTCAGGAAGCAAAGAATGCTGACTGCTTTTGCTCAGCTAGCTTCCTCCCTGTTATGAATTCCAGGACCTGAGTCCAGGGAATGGCGCTGCCCGCTTTCAGATTGGGTCTTCCCACCTCAACCTAATCAAGATAATCCCTCACAGGCATGCTCAGAGGCTAACTTAATCTAAATACTTCTTTACCAGTATGCCTAGAGGCTTGTCTCCTAGGTGATTCTAGATCCCATCTAGTTGACAATCAAATTAACCAGCACACTCTCACACTGCTTCCCTGTTAGACAAACACCTTATACTCACAGCTTCTGCAAAGAAAGTTTACAGGAAGTGAATTCTCCAGGCATCTGTTTGATAAACTGGTCTTAGTAGGTCTAGCAACACAGGATTTACCCAAGAGACTCTGTTCACTTGAAAACTACCTGAAGAGTGGTTGGGAGAGAGAGGAAAAAATCCCGAGGGCACTGGTTTGGGCTGGGGAAGTGCTGCTTAAAGTTAACTTTGATATCATTTTCCTTTTATTTATTTATTTACTTACTTATTTTTTATTTTATGTGTATGAGTGTTTTGCCTGCATGTATGTAAGTATATCACATACAGGCAAATGTGCAGAGGCCTGAAGAGGGCATCAGATTCTTTGGAACTGGATGTTAGCTACCATGTGGGTGCTGTGAAACCCAGGTCTTCTGGAAGAGCAGTCAGTGCTCTTAACTGCTGAGACATCTCTCCAGCCTCCATCACTTTCCTTTTAAACACTAATTAAATAGTACTTTGTATGTGCCAGACAGTATTCCAAGCAACTTATATTTTGAATTCATTTACTCTTTTTTTTAAAGATTTTTATTTTATTTATGTGTCTGTGTGAGTGTAAGCCACTCCTGAAAGTGTAAGATCCCCTGGAGCTGGAGTTACAGGCTGTTGTGAGCTGCCAGATCTGGGTGCTAGGAACTGAACTCGGGCCATCTGGAAGCACAGGAAGCCCTCTTAACTGCTGAGCCATCTTTCCAGCTTTAATCTTCTTTTTTCAAAAAAATATTATTTTTATTTTATGTATATGAGTGTACTGTCTACATGTGTGTAAGTGCACCCGTGTCATACAGTGTCCACGGAGGTCAGAAGAGGACATTGGAGCCTCAGGCACTGAAGTTAAGGACCATGGTCAGTCGACTTATGGTGCTGGGAATTGAACCTGGGTCCTCTACAAGAGTGCCAGTGCTCTTGACTGCTGAGCCATCCAGCCCTCAATTTAATCTTCTTAATAGCCCAGTGAAGTAGTAGCTGTTCTTATCTCTAGATTAGAGATGAGGAAAGTGAAACAGGGGAAGTAACCTGTACAGGGTCTGACAATCTCTAAAATACTTATTCCTGAAGTGCCATCATTTAGTGAATTTTATCATATCAAATCCTGTATCTTATTAAGTACTCATAGTTAGAAATTGTAGAGACTCTATGAAGAAATCCACTCAATTTTTGAATATGTGTGTGAGCTCTTTAATTTGCTCTGTTTTTGAGGGCTCCTGATTTTCCGTGTTTAATACATCCATATGGGCCATATTTTACAGCAAGGATAGGATTATATAGAAATAACAGTAGTGGAAACAGAAATCCAAAGCCCTGCATTCTGAGAGTTCTTAGTATAATGTGTTCCTTCTGAAACTGTCATGTCATGAGAAGAGGTGGGACCAAGTGAGACTTTAAAGAGGTGACTGTGGAGGGGAAGTTGTGGGTGAATATGATCAAAATATGTTGTATAAAATTCTCAAAGAATTAAAAAATATTTAAAAAGCGGTGTCTTCATGAATAGACAAATTCACTCATGAGATTACTACATTAACATGTTGCCTTGAGAGTGGATCTATCCTAAAGGGGGGAGGGGGGTGAGATGGCTTGTGCTGGATGTTTGGTCCTCTGAGTGGTAGTGTTGGGGTGGAGGTTATTTGGGGCAATGCCCTTGGAAGGGATTAATGTCATTCTACTGGGACCCAGTTAATTCCTTCCAGGGTGAGTTATAAAGCTTTGTAAAATTTAAATTTAACTAATACTTTTGAGACAGGGTCTCCCTGTAGCCCAAGCTGTCCTGGAACTTTTTATGTTGACTAGGCTGGCCTAGATCTCAAGCGATCCGCCTGCCTCTGCCTCTGGAGTGCTTTAAAGGTGGATACCACCAAGCCCTGCCCCGCTTGAACATTCTTAAGGCACAAAACAAAGCCAAGAGGCACATGCAGTGGCCAACGCTCTCCTTAGGAAGGCACAGTATGCTGAGTTCATACAGTTTCTCTAAGAGCATGCTGAGCTTCCCACAGAAGTCAAGGGACCCCCCCCCCCCGCCCCCAAGCTGCAGATCCCTTGCCAGGCCCTATCCTTTTAGAGACCCAGAGCCAGCAGAGCCCGAGGGGTGTGCAGTTTGGCAACATGACCTCTGGAATGGCGAGGGCGAGGGAGGGGCGATGCCCTAGGACCTTCCTTCTGCCCTGACTGGATGCTAGGAGTGGACAGCGCACTAGCAGTACCCAGGGCTAGAGTTCAAAGTCCGCCCAGGGCGTGGCAGGCTGACTAGGCTCAGGGAGCCAGCGCACAGCCCGCAGCGCGCACAGGCTGTGGCCACTCAGGCTCCCGCCCCTACTTCAGCGGCCCCAGCCTCGTTCGCGACGCCGGGTTTCGACACGCGCACTCCTTTTCTCCGCGGAGGAAGCGTACCGGAGCGCGCGGCCTACAAGGCGCGCTGACGTCGCGGAGGGCCGGCAGTCGGCGCGGAGCGGCCGGCGCGCGCTTGTGTGCGTTGGGTGCTGCTGCCGAGGAGGCAGGACCTACGGCGGCTTTGCCGGTTCCAGGGCGGCGGCCGCCACAGCAGCAGTATCGCGGGCGGGGATGGGGCGGTCCGGGTCCTGCACCTCTCCTGGGTGCGCGTGCGGCTCCGGGCACTCGCAGTGACGACGGCACCGCCGAGGCCGCTTAGCCAGCCAGAGAGCCGCGGGCCGGGCCATGAGGAGCGGCCGGTCCCAGGCCTCGCTGACCCCGGCTCCGCGCGGCGGTCGGCCCCGTTTCCGCTCCAGCCTCTAGGCATGAGTGTCCGTACGGGCCCGGGGCCGCGGCTGCCCCCGTCCCGCCGCCCGCGGGCGAGCTCCGGTCCCTCGGGCCCCAGGTGCTGATCCCGGCTCCCTGTCCTGCTGCCCGCCCTAGAGCTCTATGCCCCGGGGGCGCGGCCATGGAGGTGGTGGGCGACTTCGAGTACAGCAAGAGGGACCTCGTGGGACACGGGGCCTTCGCTGTGGTCTTTCGGGGGCGGCACCGCCAGGTGAGCCGGCGGAGGCGAGGTCACTCGGCATAGCCGGGCCGCCTTTGTGCTGCTGTCAACGTAGGGCTTGTTTTGGTCTGCGAGGATTGTTTGGAGGCCGGAGCCGCTCGGAAGCGCTCCACCCTTGCCGGGCGCCGGGCCACTGCTGTCATTCCCTGTCAGTGTGTCCTGTAACCGCGTAAGCCCAGGGACTTGCTGCCTGGAGAAGCCCTTCTCATGGGGCCACCAGGAGCCCCCAGATATGGCTCCCTCCTGGTGGACCTTTGTCCCAGGGCCTTGGGCTTGTCGGCTTTGAGGTGGATAATTGCAGACCCAGTGGAAAGTGGGCGGGTTTCCCTGAGGCTTTTTGGACCTGGGGGTATCACTTTCCCCAAATTATTCCCCTGCATCCCAGGGAGCCCGTTAGCATCTTACCTACTTGAGTTAGATCAGCTTGGAGTGGAAAAGATAGTTGGACGCTAAGCCAACTAAATGGATGCATGTTTAAGCCTTTTAAAATTTTTTTGTTTCAAGCCTCCCTCTTTCGAAAGTCGGGTTACCTGAGGTTTTAGAATCTAAAGAATTTGGAAAGGCATGTTGGGAGTGGAAATAATCATAAAAACTTTGGTTCTTTTGATTGTTGTCGAGGAGCATATTGAAAGTGAACTGTCATTGCCTGTTTTTCATTCATTCTGAAAAGAACTTAAAACTCAAAAAGTTAAGCTGGGCTTGGTGGCATGTCTTTAATCTCAGCACTTGGTAGGCAGAGGCAGGTGGATCTCAGTTCTAGGCCAGCCTGGGCTACATAGTGAGTTACAGACCACCTGGGGCTATAGGGAGACTGTCTCAACACACACACACACACACACACACACACACACACACACACTATACCTCAAAAAGTTAAAACAGTATAATCCAGCCAAGTTAACAAATAATTTAAATTTTTTTAAAATTATTGTATGTGTATGAGTGTTTTGCCTGCATGTAAGTGCACCTGCGTGTGTGCTGGTGGAGGCCGAGGTGGGAAAAGAGTGTGGGATCCTATGGAAGGAACTAAGAGGTGGTTGTTAGCTGCCACGTGGAGGCTGAGGACTGAACCCAGGTCCTCTGCAAGAGCAGCCAGTGCTCTTAACCGCTGAGCCATCTCTCCAGCTCCACAAATAACTTTTCAGTCAACTCTTTAATTTCCCGAGGCTGTATGTACATTTCTCCATAACTTCTGTGTGGTTGTAAACTCCTTTTGCAACTAATATGTGGTATTTTGTATTTTGTATCTAGTTGCTGTGCTGTAGGACATTCCCTGATTATATTGTTGTTTATGAAGTCGTTTTTTTTTTTTTTTTTTTTTTTTTTTTTTTTTTTTTTTTTTTGAAATTGTTTTTTTTTTTTTTTTTTTTTCTTTTGGTCTTTTTGAGACAGGGTCTTTTTGTAGCCCCAGCTGTCCTGGAACTCACAGAGATCTGCCTGCCTCTGCCTCCCGACGGCTGGGGTTCAAAGGCATGAGCCACCACACCCGGCTATGAAGTCATTTTTTTGTTGGAGATTGGGGATCTTTATTATGTTTCCCCAGCACTGTACATTTATTCGCTAAAAACATATTTACCTTTACCAGGGTTTTGTTGTTCAGTTTGTGTAATAATTTTCAGGTGTAACACTGTTTTTCCTTTTCAGAAAACTGATTGGGAGGTAGCTATTAAAAGTATTAATAAAAAGAACTTGTCAAAGTCACAAATTCTGCTTGGAAAGGAAATTAAAATCTTAAAGGTATGTTATATTATGTAATATTACATATTAGGTTAAAAGTTACTCTGAATTAAATGAGTATGAGGTGACATCATTGGTAGTTTGGTAGTTGGGCCCAAGTTTGACACTATTTTTGCATGCTCAGTTTTTTGAAACATTGAGTACTCTGAAGTTTTGTTTTGTTTTAAAGATTTTAGTTATGTGTATAGTGTGTCTTTGTGGGTATGTGTGCACACCAGTGCGAGTACCCACAGAGGTTGAAGAGGGCATTTAATCTCCTGTAGCTGGAGTGACAGTTCTGACATGGGTGCTGGGAATTAGACAGCAAGCACTCCTAACTGCTGAGCCATCTCTCCAGCCCCCTTTGAAGCTGTTTGTAAGAATAGGTGTTTGTGGGTCTAGGGATTCTATAAAGACTGATTTTGGCTTCTGGTAATTGCTTCCTTCTTCTAGTTACTGCGTTGTTATTTGAGTGTTAGGTGCATTTGTTGTATTGTTTATCTCTTTGACCTCCTTTGTATCTTTAAGCTTTTTGGGACGAACAGGGGCACTTGGGGGTCTCCCCTTATAAAGTGCACAAAGTTGTTCTCTGTGGAGGTAGTGTTTCCTGCACAGCCTCCAGTATCATCAAAGTGAGATGTTTTTGGGGTAGAGGGAAAGAAAGGGTCCACATCCAATAATTTGGAAAACCCTGTTTACAAAACACCTGGACAGTTACAAACATTTGGCTCATTAAAGAAAGTAAAAAATTTTATTGGTTTTAGTATACTCAACTCAGTGTTTCCCAGATTACTTTGATCATGGAAATTTTAATACCAGCTTTCCTTAGAACTAGTCTGTGGAGAGTTCTTTGATAAGAATTAGATAGTTCTTTGAGCTAAGACTTGTACTCTGTTTTCTTCTAGGTAGATAATGCTTTTTAAAAGCATTTTGGAATTTTATATCTTTATTACTATTAGAAATATCTTGAAATGTGAAGACTAGTAGGCAGTCTGTAGCCATACTCATCATAGTATTTATTTTGTAAACAAGAATACTCAGTATGTGTCTAGGAAATGATAGTAGTTGAAAAATATTTAGGCCTCAAAGTCTGATCAGGCACATTTCTTTTTATAATAGATTGAATTATTCAAGCTGTTAATAAAGGTGCAATGTGTTACAAATACTATGTGTGTATATACAGAAATGAATTTTTATTTGCATGCTACAATATATTAAAACTACTAGGATACATATTAATATTGAAAATCCATTTCCTTACCAGGAACTTCAGCATGAGAATATTGTAGCACTCTATGACGTTCAGGTACTT